GTAGTGGTAATAAAAGACTAATAGAGATGGATGAATGCAATTGAGTGGTGTGAAAGAGAGGGGAGGAGATGAGATGAAAATGAAATGAAATAGGAAATGAAGAGGAATGGCAGGTGGGAGGAAGAACTTGCATATTCCCCTTGAGCAATATTTTAGGCAGTGGGTAGTTTGCTTCATATCTAGTTGGGCCTCCTCCTAGATTCTAACTGAATCAAGGACAGTTATCTGAGAAAGAAAACAGATGACAAATAATGGGAAGCAGGTCAGTAACCTGATGCTCAAACAAGTATATTGGTTTTGGTCATACAAACTGGATCATATTGCTGCATGATGGGAAAATAAAAATGATCTGACCATGAGTGGTGGATGAAAAGATGCCATTTCCAGGCCTGTCATGGAGTTTCCTCTTCACATTTCTGAGTTGCACACAGGAATCAGAGGTTCACGTCAAGCAGCAGCAAAAGGTTTTAGCAAAGATCTGCCAAGTGTGTCCACAGAAGAATATTTGTCAAAAAAAAAGCAATTTCTACCCCCACCCCCCCACCATAGTAGTAGTTGCCCTGTATAGTAGCCTCTCCCCTGGCAGCAGTATTCACCTTTTCAGAGGAGACCAAGTTATTTGTGCTTCTCGTTTTCTGCTTCAGGCATTTTTCTGGTGTGAGGGAATGTGTGTTTTCTCTGCTCAAAGTCAACTTTTGTATGAAAAATCTTTCTATTGGATTGGCATCTCCTAGCAATTGCAAGCTCCAAAAGAGGGCCAAAGAGTTGGCCACACCTGTTTCTCAGCCCACCAGGGTTAAGCACAGACATTTCTGTGCCTTCTTCCATCTCTGCTCTCATCTGAAAGGCTCAAAGCACTTTCTACTACAGAGCCATGAAACCAAATTTGGGCAGGACTGTGTCCCTGTGGGAGCAAAAGATGTTGGAGTAGATGTACTGGTGGTCTTCCACGCATTAGCGGTTTGAAAATCCCAGCTGAAGGGAGGTGCACAAGCTCTGATCAGCTGGTGCTTGCAGATGATTGTCCTCACTTGACTGCAGGCTCCCTAATTCTGCTGTGACACGAGCTAAAAGCCAGAGTCTGCTGTCAACCAAATTTCTTTGGTGTGAAGCGTAGATGAACCATCTGCAATGATGCCCTAAAATCCAGGAGTCCTCAGTTCTACTGCTGTGTCTGCTGCAGATTTTTAGCATCACCTTGGGCAGGTCCCAGGTCTTATGAGTTTCGGTTTCCTGCCTGGAAAGCAGAGGATTCAGCTTCTTTTTCTCAGAGCACATATTTTTATAAAGTACAAATATTTGTGAAGTTAAGTGTTTTGACTGTGTGAGCCTCTCGGAGAAGAAACCATAAATATGTGTCAGGCCTATGATCTGAATTCAAATCGGTGAACTAGAAAAAGTGTTGACAGCCTGAAACCAAGTGCCCTGTAACACACATCTCCTTCTGTCTACCTGAAAGATTATTTGTGGAGTGTGTTTCTATTTTTCTCTGACAAAAAATAGAATACCAAGCAAAGAAGCATGACCCATTTCTCTGTCAGGCTCTAAACCCTGCTCACTGGGATGTGACCGAGGTATTGATACAAGAGAAATTCATTTTAGGCTACAATATTCATTGTGCCACTGAAGAAGAAACAAAGCCTGCCACCTTCAGATGAAATGGATGTGCTTTCCAAGCCAAAGTCTGTTTATCTCCTTCACAACTTCTCTATGATCTGTAATTATATTGGGACCATATAATGAAACAGAAAAGTGGCAAATGAGGAGAGTTAGGAATGTAACTAATCATTTTATAATAGGAAAACATACAAGCAATACACCACTGAAAGTACCTGCAAACTCTGTTAATAATCAATAGGTCTGATAAGAACATCACTCTTCATAAACTGCATCACCTTCAGTAATTTTTCACGGTCCTTTCTCTTGTAATGCCAAGTCTGGGTGCACATCATGCTGTTCATAATGTTGCCCATAGCAGTGGACTTTCCTCATAGGTCTTTTTTTTTTTCCAAATATAACATATAGCATATTCAAAGCAATATCAAGTCATACCACACTGAGCTCTTTATTACCAGAGATTTTTGGACAGAAGCACATAATCTAGGTTTTCTGAATCAATAGGCAGATGGTAGCTACTTTTTTTTTTTTTTTCTTTTTGCAGTATTTTTTTCCAACTTGTACATTTTAGATTTACATAACTTGGTTTCACACATCTGAAGAAACACTGACATAAATCTAAGTTTATCTTCGATGCATTTACAAATATTTTTCTTTTTTTTTTTTTTTCCTTTTTCTAATTTCCTGACATGTCTCTGCCTAGACTTCTGCCAGAAAGCAGGAACTTTAACTTTCTCCTCCTGACATAAATACCTTTTAATATTATGCAGAGAATGGCATGACTGTCACTTTCCCATGAGGATTTGGGACCCGTGCACTCCCCCACTGAAACACATCAGCTTTCCATCGACCAAGATAAGTAGCTCTGACATCTTCCTGCTACGCACTGCATATCCCTGAAATACAGAATCTTTGTGACTTTAGGCTGGTTGAATCCTTTTGATTATTGTTTTCAGTTTGGTTCCCTGAAACAACGAAGGTTAGCTGCATCCAACTCTTAATTTGACTTCACTTTCTATTACTCATTATTTTTTTGCAAAGGCCTTAATTCCCCTCTAAAACATTTTAATTAAAACAGCAGTTTCTCAGTGAAGCACTACACGAGCAGATTTTGCAGCAACTTCAAAGAGACGCAGATGTTTACTGAATTTGGTGGGGTGATGTTTGAGGCTGCCTACTGGCAAGGAAAAATTCATAAACATCTCTGAGAAACATTCCTTTGGTAATGACAACATTTCCTTCTTATATTTTAGCAAGTCTAATATTTCCCAATCTCAACAGGCATATTTCATAGGCACAGGCATAAGCACTGCTATCTACTCACAGTCTGAGCCCTGTGGGATGCACTGCTTTGGGGTAAATACCTCCCAGTGCTGACACTTCAGGCTTTGGCAAAGGGTGCAGGAGGCCGTGTGTTAGTTTGCTCTCTGTGTGTCCTTTTATGGAGTATCAGGAGACTGGGAATAAGGAAACCAAAGTTCAGTTTCTGCTCAAATTTTCCACAGCCCTCCAGTGTGATCTTGAGGGGCCATTTAGGTTTGAGTGCCTCAGTTCCAGCGGGTAAAGGGGTGATAACATATCCTGGCTTTGGATGGACTTACCTCTTGGTGGCAGGGTCTATCTCCTAGTGCACCAAGGGCTTCCTAGCTTGAGAGGGGTCTTAGGGTTTTTTAAGTGCTGTTCAAGTAAAATTCGGAAATGCTAAGGATTTATTTTGAGGAGTGTCCCCTTGTGGCAGGTGAGGCTGGAGGGGGTCTGATGATCCCTGTGGGTAACCAGGCAGAAAGTGTTCCCCCTAGAAGTGAGATGATGGCACTAGGGGCACTATGGCCATGGCAGACCATGTCTAAAACATAGACTGGGGTTCAGGTGTCTTCTGTGATTTGGACGGGGGGGCTGTAGCCAGAAAATACATGGCCTGTCCAGATGGGACACCAGGGAGGCTTGTCTCTGCATGCTAAGATCTACAACTGGTGGTGAGGCTTATGCTCCTTTCCATGCACAGAAGAACCACAAAATGTGTAAGGTTGGAAATGACCTCTAAAAGGGTTAACCTTGCCATCTTCACCACTAGACCATGTCCCCAAGGGCCACACTGAGACTTTTTTCCAACACTTCCAGAGAGGGTGATTCTACCTCTTTCCTGAGTAGCCTGTTTCTTCCCTGGATATCTCTCACTCATCTCTTTTTGAAGGGCAGATAATAGAATTGCTTGGAAACAGCTTATCCCCTTCCACTGTGAGCATCAGGCAAAGACCAGCATGGAAAGCTGGCGTGGGGTATGGCGTGACACGTCATGTAGCTGCTTTAACCTACAGTGTAATTACAGTGACAATTTCTGCCTCTTGACGCATCAGGATTGAAGTGGTTGCCCTGAAGGAGAAAGAAAGTTAGTGGGAGAATTGCAACCAAATCTAGGCTGGGAAGTGCAGCACTTCCTCTGCACTGGATTAAAAGTGATCAGCGTGGCCAAAGGGGTCCTGTGAGAGGCAGGTAAGCAGGCTGAAAGAAAATTGGAAATATTAAAGAAATGAAGCTAGACTGGATAAAACTAGTTTTACAATTCCCTATTCCTCTTTGATTTGGTAGCATTAGGTGGACTCAAGGGTAGATTGCGCAGACTTATGCGTGACAGCAAGACACTTTTCCACATGAATAACCCCCCTGGAATTAATTGGACCGCTCACAGAAGTGCCTGGGAATGTGAACTAGGCTTGTACATTTCAACCCTCGGATCTGATCTTTCTTCAGCAATGCAGAAGCCAGGCTGCCTGGTGAACAGCAACAGCTCAGCTAGAAATGGGAGTTTGAACCACTCACAGTGAGTGAGTCCATGTCTCTGTGGACACATCTTTGCTGGGGAGCATCTCAGCTCAGCTCAGTTCTCCTTGGTAAGAAACATTAAACTGAAGGAAACTACTCCTGAAATGAAAGCAGGGCTCAGCCACAAGTTTGTGCTTACCACAAACTGCCATGTGTTTGCTGTGCCAGGCAATTGCCCACGTGTCTGCTTTTAGCTGGTGGCAAATGCTCTTAATTTGAATTAGCCTGACCTGCAACGAGGGAAACTTAAATTTAGGTAGTTCTTCCATGTGTGCTGTGGGATAGGAGCACACAGCCAGGCAGTCCCCTGTGTTGGGATGTGCCTGAGCATTCAGGGTGTCCACAGAGGCATTTGCTCCAGCTGAGGTGCTTGTTCACAGGTAGCAAATGGGCTCCCGACAAAGCAAACCGTATGCAAAATTCCCCTCATGTGTTGGTCTGGGAAGAAATAGCTTTGTTGTTGTTTCAAAGAACTAGTGAGCCAACAATGCAAAGCTTTGGAGGTGGTTACTGGGTTTTTACTGGAGTCTCTAAGAGCTATACAAAGTCTGAAGACATTGTACGTACAGTACATCTTTAATAAGAAGGGAGCTCACAGTCTACCAAACTCTGCCAAATAAACTTTTAATACATACTGTACTTCACTCAATAGTTGTCCATCTCTTCTTCGTGGAATATCTAACAGCTCTAAAAATATTTTCTTGGAAGAGGATAGAATTATCATCATTGTTATATATCAATCAAGTATGGTTAATGAAGCAAAGCCAGCATGCTAGTATTGCACAGGGGGAAAAGCCTCCAGAACACAAAGTGAAACAACAAATGCCCTCAAAATTCTGCCAAAGGGAACAGGAAGCTCTGGATGCCGCATCAGTAGGATTCGTGTAGCTCTTAGGCGTCCTTGTAACGCAGAAGGTTTGCTTTGCCTCTTCTCTGCCACATTTCTCTCTCAAACAGGTAGGGAACTTCCAGACCATTACAAAAAAAGGGAAAAAAAATTATAGCAGCTGCAGCAAAGTGTGGTACTATTCAATTTCTTGAAGAGTGAGGCTTTTATTTCAAAATATCATATATTAATATATATATATTTCTATATATATATATACTTTAACTGGTATAAAGTAAATTGTAGATCCAAACTTATACTGTTGTTTGTACTTTGCAATCTCGGAAACTTTAGCAAAGGAACCATTTTCTTCATTTTTTTATTTTCAGCTGTCAAAAATCAGGGGCAATATTTCCACCGAATCCTTTCTTTCGCACAGTAAAGCCACTGTTGTTCTCTGGTAAACAGTCAAAGTGCAAATAAGAAATCCATTTGGCTTGTAAATGCTGAGATGGTTTTAAACTTTCAATACTTTGTCCTCATCCATCAGCAGGGCTTTCACTGTCTCCATGCAGACGCAGCTGCTCTGTTAAGTCCTCGGGTGGATCTGCAGTGAGAAAGTGCAAAAGAGTCAGTTATATAAAATATGCTATTTTTTTTTTAATATATTCCTGTGGGAAAGAAAGACCCAGGCTCTGTGGTATAAGGGTGAGTGATATAGCTGAGTTTAGATTGCAGTTCTGGGGGGGTGGGTGTGTCTTTTCTCTCAGGGCTGCAAGAATGTAAGGACAGGCAGAAGACAGACCCTGAGTAAGCTCCTGCCTGTGCCTTGGGAGATGCTGGATGTGCATCAACCACTTGGGTTGGTGGTGCAGGAGATCATAGAATCCCAGAATGTCTTGGTTTGGAAGGGAGCTTAAAGATCATCTCATTCCAATCCCTCTGCCACGGGCAGGGACACCTTCTACTATCCCAGGTTGCTCCAAGCCCCGTCCAACCTGGCCTTGGACACTTCCAGGGATGGGGCAGCCACAGCTTCTCTGGGCAACCTGTGCCAGGGTTTCCCCACCCTAACAGGGAAGAATTTCTTCCTGATATGCAATCTAAACCTACTGTCTCTCTGTTTGAAGCCATTCCCCTGGAGCAGGGGAAGGGAATGAGCTGGTGCCAAGGTGTTATTTGCTGCGGGATGAGATGAGCAGAGGCTGTGAGGAAATGTGATGCTCAGGTGCCTCAGGGAACCATAAAATGCCCTGCATTTCTCTGAATGCAAAATGTATGGAAAACCAAGTGTTTCTCTGGAAATTGGGGGCTGGGTGGGCTGTAGTGCAGGGTGCAGGCTGTGAAGCTGGAGAGGTGCTTTGAGCTGAGCTGCTCTGCGAGTCCTCAAGTGCTCAACACTTTAATATCCATCCTCCAGATTATCAGCAACATCCAGCCTGGTGCCAGTTGCTCTGGCGAAACGTGGTAATGGGATCTCCAGGCAGGTCCTAGAACAGCTCCAAGGGCCCCATGTTTTTAAGCAAAGCATTGAAAGTTATATTGTAACGTTTAAAAAAAACCCCAAACCAACCAAACAAAAGGAGTGACTAGAGATTAAAAGAAAAAAAAAAAAGCATTGAAACTGCTCCAAAAATTGAATGACAAAATGATTTCTTTCGGTGTTGTTTGTCACCTGCCTTACCATCAATAGAAAACAAATTGATTTACAGAAGCTGTGAGCTTTATATCTTTGGCCTTAAAAACATAATTAGTGAGCTATGCGAAAGGACTAAACACAGAAAGAGGATGTGCTGGCAAAGACTTCACTGGATATGTTGTCCACCTCCTTCTGACATTAATCAGTATTAATCACTCTAGAAAATTATACATATTGTGTATATACATGTATTCATAAATATATCCACACACACATGCTTATATGTGATTTATTGTGGGCCTGGAGGAATACACTAATGGGTATTTTAATCCTGAGATTCACAAATGTGAATGTTTTCCTTGTCAGGACAGCAGCTGCCCAACATAAATGTATTTAGTGTAAGGAAAAGCCTTCATTAAAACAGTTTACAGCCTATGCAGACTTGCTGTAGCTTTTTGGCTCATCACCACAGATATAACTAGGTTGTGGACTGACTTGTCTTGTTTTTTTCTGCTTTCTTAACTTCCTTAACTACATAAATTAGACACACATGGCCCAATCTTATGGCCTGGACTGTGGTCAGTACAGATTACACTGTACTCTCTTTCTCTGCTGCCATCTGAAATGGCAAAACTAAGGAAAAAAAATGTCTGTTCAGGATCTGATTGCTTCCACTGCTTTACATTTACGTTGCCAGACTTGACACAGCGGTACAGATTCAAGCAAAGTTTCAGGGACTAAGAAGTAGAATTTTTGCTCAGAAAATGCAAGAGACAGTTGCTAAGCGCATCATGTCACGTTGCCTTTGTCAATTGGGTTCTGTAATGATATTTTAAAGCAACAAAGCAAAATTCTACTGGAAGCAGCACCATAAGGTACTCCCCTCACAAGTTAATTAAAATAACTCCTGTGGGTAAATGAAGAAATATTTCTTTTCAGTTCTGAGCATTCACTCTGCAAGTATTTAATTTAAATGAAATACAATAATGCATACTGAATAGATTGGACCATAAATCTGCATATTAATGAAGCTGCTAAATTTCCAGCAATCACTTCTATCGCCTAAAACTAGTTTATATGATGAGGACTGGGGGAGTTAAGAGTAGGACAGTTTGACTTGAAAAAAGCAAATGCAATTCCTAAATTATATAACTTTCAGACAGAGTGCAGAAGGAATGAATTATTGCATAAGATCCTTCATGTTGCTTCTTACTTCTTTGACATCCCTTTCTTCCATTTTAATTCCCCAATTCAGTGGGAAAGGTGTTGCCTCAGTGGAAAGGACATGTAGTAAGTTTGTGTTTGGGGATTTTTTGACTGCACTGCAAGGCCACATGCATTAGGGTACAACCTTCCAGCGGTTCTGCACTGTGATAAATCAGCTGAGAGCACAGAAGGATTTGCAGCCACAACAGTGAAACTGAGTCATGAAATCACAGTTCCCTCCATGCTTTCTTTGTGTTTCTAGGAGGTGATAGACAATATGGATCCTGCTTTTGGGGGTCACTTCCTGCCTTCTGCAAAGGAAATCCCCTAAATTAGCAGGTACCCCAATAATTTAATGTTTTGTTGTGATCAGCCGTGCCAGGAGGCTCAGCTCAAGAAGCTGGATGTGAAATACAAATCCTTCCTCTTAGTGTAGATCATATGGAGGGAAAGAAAAGAATTCCGATGGCATGGGGATCAGTTAGGATAAGATCTCTTTCAACAAAAAGCCTAAAAGACATGAAAAATGACTAGCACTAGGATTGCAAAAAAAGGAAGAAGTCAGAAAATCATGACCCTAAGCATGTTCCTGTGAGTCAGCAGCTGGGTATGAGTATGTAGAATTTCTTAGTAAACAGGGAAAAATGTTTTGAAAATATGCCCTTTTTTTTTTTTTTATGTTTTTTTTTTTTTTAATTGGCAGGTTTCAAAAGATATTTTCCACTTCATGGAAAATTAAAATTTATATATTTATAAGACATACTTTGAGTTGAGAATTGTGTAAATTTCTTGGAAAAAAAATTCAATTGTGGTATGAAAATAATTAAAACTGTTAAATACAGGTATATTTGTCAGTTTTAAGCAAACGGTTGCGAAAAAAATCTCACAACGAGAAAGAAAAGCTAAAGACTATTTTTGAAAAACACTTTTATTCCCAAGGCAATGTCATAGTGGGAGAAGTTTAGGCAGCTCATTCACACTCTCTGTCTTTGCAGCCCCATCTGTGTGTTTTCCTGGCATTGTGTGGTGAAAGCTGTCATCTCCTGTTGGCCTGTGTTACCTGAACCCTCAGCATCACAAGAACATGTCACTAATGGGTTCATGGGGCTAGAGCTGCTCTGAAGTAAGACCTGAAATGCAGACAGGGAGTCGAGTCCTCTGTCACATATCCCTTGTGCAGCTGCTAACACAGATGTGGCCTGGAACAGGCAAGGAAGGGATGTAGGAAAATATTCTTCCCTTCAGCCACCAGAAAGGGATTCAGTGAGGGGCACTAGGGGTTTTTCTTTGAGGTGAAAATGACTCTTAGAAAGTGGCCTGGCAATTCAGCAGCTCCAGCCTGCTGGTTACTGAGCCTGGGTTCACCTGACCAGCCTGGTCCATCTGAATTTTCACCAAATTATGGCCAGAAGCATCGAGTGACTGGGGAGGTGTGCAGTGATCCTTAAGATTTTTACAGCAGACACGATGATGGAACAGACATAGGCAAGCAATCATTAGTGATTCCCTTTCCTAATAGGACCTCCTGGGTACAGACAGAAAGCCAACTTACTCTGGTGGTCTTGATTTTATTGCCCGTCGCACACATCCACCCGGAATTATCAGGCAACGTCTTACATTCCTCTCCTTCTAGGCAGGGCTCCATCTCACACCACCATTTCCCAATCACTATAGAAGCTGAAAGAGAAAAGATAATGCTTGCAACTGCGTTACAATGAACAAATCTAATTAAATAGTGTCTCAGGGGTCTAGCACCGCGTTTAAAAGGCAGAGCATCCCTTCAACTGAAGTTTAGTTGTGAGGATTTCATATTTAATTACTTCTTTGGCATCCTGCATTGCCTAAGACAGTGCAGTGCTTTCCACAGCCTCCTCACACATGAGATCCAGTCTGTTATCGTGCTGTGACTGCAGGGGAAGCTGTGATGGCAGCAATGCTGCTGCAGACCAAAGGACCATCCACCCTAACAGCCTGTCTCTGTGAGTGCCAATCTGATCCTTGTGGACGTGTATAAGTACAAGGCAAGTCTAAAGAGATTTTCCTCAGAATATTCTCTGGGTCTCCAGGACTTGTGGCTCAGGCTGCTCCAGATAAAACTGTGTCTGCTTTGCTTTCAATACTTGCAGCTGTTTTTTTTTTTTTTTTTTAAACCACAAATCTGTCCAGAATGTTTTGAATCCATGGAGACTTTTAGCTTTCCCAGCATTCCATGGCAGGGAGAGTCACAACTAGAAATAGAGGGCAAGGTAATACCGAACAGTAGCAGAAGTTGTTTGTTGAAACCTGATTATGAATTTTATAGGAACCATATTATCTCAAGCAGTAACTTTTAATTTCCAAATATTTAACGTTGTAAATAATGACAGTGTTTGGACCTTGTTGTTTGAATTTAATTGGCACGTATGTTTACAACCTTGAGTGCACCTCAATGAAGTTTCTTGCCTGGGAATTGGTATCTGACTACATCCTTAACTGTATCTTAATGACATTTTTTGTCTGGGGATGGTGATAAACTTTAGCTCACCTTGCAACTGTGACTAGTTAGAGTGAGAGTGGCTCTGTCTGTGATTTGTTTTCTCTGGGAAGAATTAATTTCATGGTTGCACTCGGGAAGCCTGTCAAAGCTTTCTGCACATTCACTCAATTAGAGATGCTTAACCCATTCATATCACCCCACATGGCTGCTTCAAGCTCACAAAATACCTTGGAAGCAGCTGACTACCTTATAACACACCATTCAGCTCTGGAAAATGCCCTGTTGTGCATGCATTGATTTAAGGACATTTCAGAGTTTATAATTAAATTCTTGAATATAGAATTGAACAGAATAGTTCAGTTGAAGAGGCCCTAAAATGATCCTCTATCATTCTGTGTTGTGTTCCTGGTTCTTCCCACAGATTATACCTGATTTTTATCATGTAATGTATCATTTATCCATAGATGCAACACAAAAAAGAAGCTCTTTGCACCTGTGTTTGGAAGGCAGCTTAATGATGCTATTCACACACCTTTTTCAGAAGGGTATCATTAATGCTGCTAACAGTAGAGAAAAGAGATGTCTCTCTTTGCTATGCGTGAAAAGGCACGAGGGCTGAGTCTGTGCTCTAATAATTGACTGTGCAGTGGGCAAACTGAAAAACCATATCCTGCTAAATACTGGCCTTCACAGCAATCATCAGAGCAGAGCATCCTCAGGATGCGTGAGAAGAATCCTGGGCTGTGGAATCAAAAGTGATGATCGTAATTATTTACTGGTAGCAGTGCCATAGGATTAAATAACCATGGAGAGGGATCCTCCAGTGCTGGGTGCTACAAACCACAAACCTGAACACCCTGGCCTAGAGGGTTTACAATATAAACCAGAGATCTGACATGAATACAGACTGAGAGGCAGCATGGAGAAGCAAAGCTGTTCATGGCAATTAAAATGATCTAACTGCTTACTGACGCTGTTAAATGCAGCCCAAGATTTCGGAGCTTGCCCTTGAAAAATAATCAAATGCAAAGTAAGCACCGAACCTTAATGGCAAATGGCAACTGCTTCATGTAATGGTGTGCAGGTTTTAGTATATACAAACATACCTTATTTATTTATTTATTTATTTATTTATTTATTTATTTATTTATGAACACAGTGCAGTGCAATCACAAGGAAGCCCACCTGGGCTGGAGACCAGGCTCCTTTTATAATGGGGGAAACTAAGGCCCTTTGCAGATCTAAAGCTCTTTTTTGTCTTTGTCTCTAATATGTAAGTAGGCAAAATCCTTTGTAAGTCTGAAGGACTACAAAGCTCACTGTGGTCTTGTCCTCAGCCCCATGCTGTGGCAGGGACATCCAGAACCCAATGAAAATTACTTCCTTTGAGTCTTGTGTTAATAGGTTTTCTCTTCTATTAAGAGCTTCTTAGTCTTTAAGACCAGTTGTCCTTCTTGGGCACTGTCGATGAGTTCTATTTGATTTCAAAGTTTTACACCTCCAGCTCTGTTCAAAGAGGGAGGGAAAAAGCTTTAAAATGAATCACAGTTTGCAGCATTTGAGATTTGGGTCCACCTGTACGAGGAGGGGTGAACTTTCCCCAAGGAATATGATGCAGCTTCTCAATTTTTAAGTTATTTCTCTCTGAGATGTGCTGAGGCAGTTGTGTGTGAGAGAGAATTGCTCAAGTGAAGATGCTTTCCCTCAGGCTGGTTTACACTCAAGAACTCCCAGATCCTGAGGAACCTGGGCTTCTGACCTGAACTGCTAATTCTGGATGAGAATTCCAGATTCCCCTTAGTCACCAGGCAGCACAGGCTGTGAGTGCTCACATCATGCTGGATTAGACACTTGTAACGTTTTGGAGTGGTTTTCATTGTGTTCTTCTCACTGTCTGGGGAATACATGAAGCACAGAGTTTCTTCATGCAAGGTTGAATTGACTGACACAGATACCCTCAGCCATGGGGAAAGAAAAGCCTTGGTTGCTCCTGCTTTCCTCGTGTTTTGTTTTAGTTAGTTTCCTTTTGGCTGTTTGTTGGGTTTTTTTTAAATCTTTGTTTGCAAAGCTATAGAAAAAATTGATCAAAATATTTGATGTATTTAGTCTGCATGGATTAACACAAAAAAGCATTTGGTTGAAATGGCATTTGCTAATCATGTGCTCCAGAGAAACATGCTACAGATAAGAAACCTCAGGATCAGATTGAATATAGGGAAAGGGGAATAGAACAGCTTTTATTTTCTAGTGTTTACACAATTCTATTGCATTTTAAAATACATTTGTTTCCAAACATAATGCCCAAAGCCTTAGGCGAGTGCAGGGAACTGCCAGTTTAGGTTGGATTCAGTGGGTTTCAGCCTTCAAAGCTCATGAGAACCTTTGCAGGTTGCACAAGGGTAGTGACCGTGTTTTAACTTGCTCTTGGGCAGCACCTGGAGCACAAAGGTTTGATGCATGAAAGAGCTGGAGGGGGATGTTCTCCCCCTGAATTTCAGTAACAGTGTATTCTATTAAGGGGCAGTAGAAATGCACTGAACAACTTCAAACATCTACACCTGAAAGGTCAGAACCAACATGGAAACACCCATTATTCCATAATCTTCCCCTCAGATCAAGCCAAATTTGGAATAAATACATAAAAGTTTTGATTAAAACTGCCTGTTGAAACTCCTGAACTTGCCATGTTGCACATTTATCAGTCTTCAAGTTCTTGCACTAAACTGAAGCTACTCAGTTGTTCAAAGCCCTCTAACAGGTGATTACCAGGACATGGACAGAGAAAATGTGTGCACACACATCCCAGAGACTCACAGGCACTTGCTTTTGTCGTGTTTGTTACCCCAGTGTGCGTAGAAAATGCAAAGACTTTTTTTTTTTCCCCCGATAAAATTCTCCTTTTACCTTTCTGCATTTGTATTTAGGAGATTGCTTTAACAACGTGACCAACTCCATATGACAATAAGTATAAAGATGTTATATTTAACAATGTAACAGTATGACAGTCCTCACAGAGTAATAGATAACTTTAATTCATGTTTATGGAATACCCTGAAATATGAAAACAGAGCAAAGTATCATCATGCATTTTTCAGCAGTTTAGGGGGAACATGCTATGTATTGAAATGTTCCAAGATTGCTTCTGCAGCTGCCATTATGAAGCCACAGCAGCTCTCTTTTTGCCTGTGATAAAGTGTACACATTTTGTTTGTATAGAAATAGAATACAAAGGAATGGAGATATTAGATTGTGCTTCCTCCTGATTATGGGTATCGTGTTACTCCAAGGAATAAGAAGCAGAGTTCATTTTCAGAACCAGTATGACACTCATTGCAGGATGGGAAAGTTTCCACTGTAAGTGTAGAACATTCCATTTAAATCTAGTTTCCACCATCAAAGATTGATATAAATAAAATCTAAATAGAGAACACATTTCACAGATGTCAGAAGTGAAAAAGACTTTGTCAGCTTAATGAAAAGATATCAATTTTCTCCACTTTATTGGATAAATTGTGTGTCATTTTCTAAATGGATTAGATTAAAGGAAAGTTCAAACTCCCTGTGAGAGACTCTTGATCTGATGGAGATTTTGGCAATGGCGACAGCGCAGAGGTGGGTAAAGTCTTTCAGGCAGTTTTATTTTTTTCAGAATAAATGGATATAAACTAGAATGAGAGAAACTGTAATCCTGTGCTCACCTATTCCTTATAAAACAAAATCCCAGAGAACTGAATGAGACGTAGTTTCTTTTACTTTATTGGGACGCCACGGGGAGTGGGATGGAGGTGAGAACACACCTTCTAGGAGGATGAGAAAATTGTTCTGAAAGAGTCATATGAAGGGCTATGTATTTCATAAACAGACTGAGACAGGGGCTACTCTGGGAGCTGTAAAGCAGTAATCTGATAAGTTAAAGAATACAAATCCAAAACAAAAGATTTCAGGTTGAATATTGCTATCTAGGAGAAATACAGGATGTTTCCTACAGGGAGTCCACGCTATCAAACTCTCTGCTTTAATTCAATCTTACTCAATTTTGGAAGTATCAATATAATGCTCCTGCAGTGTAATGCTTTGCTGCCTTTGATAACAGCCCTCTCATAGCTCTGGCAAAATGGACATTTCTCTAGTTTAAAACACAAGCACAGGGCAATCAGTCTGGCAAGTGGTGTCTCATATCCCTAATTGCCTCACATTCAGT